CCCCTCCCAGCAAGTTCTTGTCTTTTTTTTTTTAATTATGTTTAGAGCCCAAAAATTGTTGCATCCATTCAGTTCCGCTCCGTCCCGGTTTGAACTTAACCTTCTTTCAAACTTAACCTTCTTTCAGAGTTGGCGCACCTTTTTTGTTAACCCAGACGGCTGAAGGGTCTTTTTGTTAACAGTTGCATACCGTTCAGCCACATGGGCTTTCCAAAGTGTTCAACGAACTTAACATTCTTTCAAAGTTGGTGCACCTTTTTTTCTTTTTTTTTAAATTTGGACAATTTCTCGATATATGCGTGTCAACGTTTGGGCAGGGACCATGCTCATCTTCATCTGAATGATGCACTCCCATACGCGGATGTATGTTGCCCCCTTTTACCAAACTATACAAGTCAGTAATGATGACTAATCATCATAAAGGGATCATCTAGGCCGTTGGCAGTTTGCTTGAACAAACAGCCCGGATTTGCAGCTGATCAGGGAAAAAATAGATTGGCCAGCGATCTGGGCCGTCCACGTGCATGGGTGGCCCACATCGTCGATCTTAAGTTTTGGGTGATGGGTCGCGAATCTGGGCTGTTCGCTGGCGAAAGGCTCAGATCGGCCCTGTACCTCTGCATACCTATCGGGTCATGGTCCCAAGGACAATCAGAGAGAGTGAGTGAGAGAGAGAGGTTTTCTCAACTGTTGCCTCACATTCTGTCCCGTCTTTTGCTTTCCTCTCACTCATCGTAGTGCACTTTCTCTTTCCCAATAGTGAGATGTGCTGTGACCTGGTGCAATGTAAAGTGGAGGAGAGAGGAGGGGAATGGGATGCAGGAGGCGAGGGAAGAGGAGAATTTGCAGGAGGGATAGGTGAGAGATGGAGAAAAGAGGTGGGAAAAGATGGAGCAATTTTTTCCTTCTATTAATGTGCTTTTGATTGAGTTTCCCTGTAAGCAGAGGAGGAAGAGGGAAGTAGGAGGAGGAGGGGGAGAGGCGAGGGCGGGGACACAGAAAGCATCACTGCTTGTCCCCCTCCCCGCTCACTCTCTTTTTCCTGATATGACGTACTTTTCTTTTTGTGTGAAAACGAGGCTCGGGTTACTGCCAACCTTTGTTGCGGTTCTCTTGGATCGAATCAACTCTTCTAATAAGCATTGTGTTGTTTATGGACTTATCTTCGATCGTTTGGCAACGGCGATCGTGTGTGTTTTTTGCTATATCTCACCTCTACTGCCAAGGGTGGTATGAACACCTCCTTCCTGGTAGTACCCTTGCCACTGGCTCCATTCTCGATTTATGCATGTCATCCTTGGGCAGCGGCCATGCTAATTTTCTCTGTATAACTCCAAATTGAACAGATGTCCCGAAGAACGATTTAATGCTTCCTTCATTAGGGCTTTTTTTTTTTTTTTTTTTCCTGTCCTGAAGCAGCGAGTCCTTATCGGGTTGTTGACGCTGCTGCTATCATGGCCTGTATGTGTGCATGGATGTCTATGCGGATACAATGTTGCTGACTGTACTCTGTCACAGTTCAAGGATCGCTCTGGCCCTGCGAGCGGATGTCTTATGGCGGACATGCCAGGAAGAATAATAAAGGTTCACAATCTCTGGGTGTATAAGATGGAAGGGCGGAACATGATGGAGATTGCAGGGTTACGAGTATTGGGAGCCCATCGGTGGCGGGATTGGTCGCAAGTCTTGATGGGTATGGATCCGAACTCGTGCCGGAAAGATATTCTATCAGATGTGAACTTGGCACTAAAGGCAGGGACAATAACTGCGATCATGGGGCCCGACGGGTCGGGGAAATCGACACTTCTTGCAGTGCTCGCAGGGGTAGGTGGGTCACGAATGGCAGGCCTTTCTGCTTACGGGGAGATTCAGATTGATGGCCTCCAACGAGACAGAGCATACCGGCGGCTAGTTGCGTATGTGCCGGAAGAAGACGATTTGTACGGAGAACTCACTGTAGAGGAGTGCGTTATGTACTCGGCTATGCTTCGGCTGCCAGCCTTCATGCCTGTTGATCAGAAGAAGCGCCGTGTAGAGCTGATGCTTGAAGCACTTGGCCTCGACATGGTCGCAAACTCCCGCGTTGGGAGCTTTCTCGGGACAGGCGGCATCCGCGCTCAAGAGCGCCGCAGAATCCGCATCGCAATGGAGCTTGTATCAGAGCCTCGTATTGTGCTGCTGGACGAACCGTTTGCTGGCATGGATGGTGCGATGTCTGGCCGCCTCATGCACACCCTTCGACGCATGGCGACAGAACGAGGATCGATCATTGTGCTGACCGCCCGGCGGCTTTGCCAGGAGATGTTTGAACAAATCCCTGAAATTATGTTGTTATCAAGGGAGGGAAGGCCCCTCTATTTTGGCAAACGACAAGGGTTGGGAATGTTCCTAGAAGGACTCGGAAGGCCGTGCCCTCCAGATCGCCAACTCTCGGACTTTATGATGGAGACAGCCTGTGAGTCGAGGCAGGTGGGGCGGTTGAGTTGGATCTCTATGTCCCGATCACCGTCTTCAACTAGTCGCAGGCCACCGCCTCCCCCAATACCTCCCATGTCTGCTGTGATTCAGCCAGTCTCTCCTGCAGCAATGCTTGGTCGCGCTCTCCATTCCTCCTTGGATAGAGCTCCTTCACATCATATCACCCCCATCCTCCCATCTGCAAAGGCAGCTGTCAACTCCTCTCCCCCGGCCTCCTTCACCACTTCATCACCCCCCCTTCCTCCGACAAGCAGCTCGGCAAGGCGAGGATTCGGACATGTTCCCAGAGACCGGCGTTCTATAGGCACCTACCATGGACCTTCGCCGATGCTTTCGCCACAGCCTCAGAGTGCAACATGGACAAGCTCTGTTCCGCCCTCCCCCTCAGGGAACTCCGGCCTCCCGTCTTCAGGTGGGAATTCTCCGATCGTCTATCCGGCAATCGATTCCGGGTCTGTCATTGGGCCTACAGGTATAATAGAACAGGACGCATTGGATTGCATTGTGGTCGACGATACCACTGCACCAAGGAGAGCCCCCAAGTACCGAGTCCGGGCAAGCTGCAATCCGAGCTGCCTCTTTGAGACGCGCACGATTGGACAGACGTTAAAAGGCCCGGGCTTCGAACATCTGCTGGTGTACGAAATCAGCTGGCTATTCTGGAGAGAAGTGCGGAGGGTGTGGCGACGACCCGGCCTCCTGATAGCACATCTTCTTGTGGTAACCGCCATGGGTCTGCTGGTCGGGACCGTCTTCCATCAGTCTTCGGACGAGGTCGCCGCATTTGAGAACCGCATCATGGTGTTCAGTTTTTCCATACTGCTCATCTCTTTGATAAGGTGAGGGGATAAAAATAAAAAATAAAATCGCAGCTATGAAAAAGGGGGAGAGGAATAACTTTCTGAAGTTCGCTAAAGAATGGGGAAGAGGCCCGAGAGGGAGAACATCGGAAAAAAAGGAAAACAGAAGAACATGATAACGAGCAATCAGAGCATCATCATAAGGTGAGAGAACACAGCTATGGAAAGGCAGGCAGGGGGGGTGGG